CTGCATTTAATATTAGCCAGCTGTTAATGATTTAACATGCAAAATCCAGCTGTCATATTCAAAGTATTTTTGTGTGGCTATTTAACTCTCTCAGTCACACCCAGCGTTACTCTCAGCATTATACACATTTATAAAATGATTTACAATGCCATTAATTCCAATGTGCAAACATTCCACAGAACACCGACCAACATAAATAACACTGTGATTGCCTGTCTCTCTTTCTTACCCACCTTGTCTCTCTCCAGACTGCCTCAGTGCTGACACTATTTGCAAACTATACAAGGACAACCCTGAAGCAAAGGAAACTGCATGCAGCTTAACAAGGGATAACCTTTGGAAAATCATTTAGATGAAGAATCATTTGTAGTTTTCTTTAATTGCTATACCCAGTTCACTTTAGAGCTCAGTAGTATTACAGTCAAGAAGCAATATCATCTATCACTGAAAGGTCTAATTCCATTCAAAATGCATTATTTACTGCTGCTCCAAACATTCCATAAACAAACTTAACTTCAGCTAAAATTTCCAATTTATTTTCTACCCAATAGTGGCATTTTCAAAAGGAAGAAAAAAAAAACAACTATCATCTACTTTCGAGTTCCATGTGCTACTAAAATACATGAGGCAAATAGCTGTCCTCTGCTCTCCAATAAAATACTGCCTAAAGACAACTCAGCAACACTAGACCCAATATTGGCTAAATTTGGCTTGCATTGTAGTCCTAAAAAATAACCCAGCAAAAGAATCAATTGCCTCAACTCTGCTGTTAGACACACAAGAAGCTGTGGTAGCCTCTGTCTTTGCTCTTGCTCTCTCTGACTGCTTAGAATCATAGAATCACCGATGTTGGAAAAGTCCTACAAGAACATCCAGTCCAACCATCCACCTATCACCAATAGTACTCATTCACTAAACCATGTCCATCAACACAACGTCTAAGCATTCCTTGAACACCTCCAGGGTCAGTAACTCCACCACCTCCCTGGGCAGCCCATTCCAGTGCTTGACCACTCTTTCAGAGAAGTAGTATTTCCTAACATTCAGCCAGAATCTCCCCTGGCGCAACTTGAGGCCATTCCCTCTAGTCCTATCACCAGTTACACGAGAGAAGTGGCCAAACCCCAGCTCACTACAACCTCCCTTCAGGTAGTTGTACAGAGCAATAAAGTCTCCCCTGAGCCTCCTCTTCTCCAGACTGAACAATCCCAGCTCCCTCAGCTGCTCCTTGTAAGACCTGTGCTCCAGACCCCTCACCAGCCTTGTTGCCCTTCTCTGGACACGCCTCAGAACCTTGATGTCTTTCTTGTAGTGAGGGCCCAAAACCAAACACAGTTGAGGTGCAGCCTCACCAGGGCTGAATACAGAGGGACAATTACTTTCCTGCTCCTGCTAGCAACACAAACCAGGATGCCACTGGCTTTCTTGGTTAACTGAACACACTGCTGGCTCATGTTCAGCTGAGCATCAACCAATACCCCCAGGTCCATTTCCTCTACACAGCCCAAGCCTCTCTGTCTCAAGCCTGTAGCATTGCCTGGGGTTGTTGTGGCCAAAGTGAGGACCTGACACTTGATCTTGTTGAACTTCAACCCACTGTCTTCAGCCCAGCTATCCAGCCTGTCCAGATCCCTCTGCAGGGCCTTGGTACCCTCAGGCAGATCAACACTTCCTCCCAACTTGGTATCATCTGCAAACATACTGAGGGTGCACGCAATGCCTTCATCCAGGTCATCAATAAAGATACTGAAGAGGACAGGCCCCAGTACTGACCCCTGGGAAAGTTACAAGTCCCCCAACAAAGTGTCAGCAGTCAAAACAGAACACCACCACTGCCACCTCATACACTGTGTGACCTAAAAATCCAGGAACAAATCAGACCACTCACCCTGCCACTCATTTCTGCAATAAACATCATTGTTTCCATGTTGCATTACAAATACTTAGCCTCACCACTACCCTGCAGAGACAGGTTCATTATTATTTTATGCCTGTTTCACAGAAAGAGAAAGCAAAGGCCAAAGTGAACATTTTCAGAAGCACTTGCTTATGATTTGCTGCTGCTCTGGGGATACCCAGCTTATGGCACTGAATCACAAATATTCCAAAACAAACACATGAAAAAAAAAAAAAAATGCAAACAGCTAATTTTTGGACTGCAGCTCAGAACTATATTACTGGCCAAAAACACAGGTTGCCCCCGCTTTCCCTTCTCACACAGTAAGCAGAATATGAGGAAACTTTTTGTCAGAAGACTTCATGATGCAAGCTGTCATTGCAAAGCACTCAAGAACCCAGTCAACTTTATAAAAGGCAGGTGTAACTGAGTTTACCTTCTGCTTATCACCACTTCTATCAGCAGAGCGTTGCTGAACTGCCTCCCTCCAAAAAGCAATTTGAGATGCAAGGTTCAAAAATACATGTAAATTATCATTAAAGGATCCTCTGTTTAATTGGGGCATTTCAGACCGGGGCTGCTGTTTTAATGGGTTGCCTCCCAGGAAACTGACTTCTCCTATAATGACACAGTGAATAGTAACGACCAGTGTTTAATTGGGACAGTGTTAGTAAAATCTGGCTTCAAAGGGATTAAATAGGCTGGTGCAAAGGAGTTAAGTGATTAATCAGATGTTAAATACGTACGTACTTTTATACTCTGGCTTTCTCCTGTGCAATCCTACACACTCTGAACTTAACGGGAGTTTTGTCACTAACACAAGAAACATCAGCCTCTTAGTAGAGGCTCACCACCAGCCTTGCAAGTGCACACTGGAGCACTGGTGGGACCAGTCGTTAAGTGCTGTACTTCTCTCTCGGAAAAGGAACTACATATACACATACCTGCCACAAAGCAAATACATAGCAATATACAATTGCACATACCGACTTGACACAAGCAAAGATACTACTGCAAGTTTATACTGATTACAAGTAGTTAAATACGTACAAAATTTCATCACCTCACAGTTTTCCTAAAACTTAGAGTGTTTCTCCAATAATGTAGATAGACAGTGCATTGAGCATCCCAAGCAAAAGTAGAGCCTGAGCTTTCACTCCCTTCATCAGAGCTTTCCACAGCTCATCACCAAGCTGCTGGGGAATTTACGGCACACGGCCTTGCCCTGTTCTGGGGCAGGGAATAAAAACAGAAAAAAAAACACCAAAATGCATTCACCATTACCACCTCCGCCAGTTCATAAGCTCCTAACGCAACACCTCAGAGGAAAACCACTTCTCAGAGCAACACAGCAGCTCTGCAGCCACTCTGACAGGCATGGAGCTTGCTCCCGTGCCGCAACCCACAGGCTGCAGAAATAATGGCACGCTCATACAGTCACACAAATGCTAAGCAGATCCTGCAAAATCTGGGTGCCCACCACAACCAGCTTTCGCTCCATCTGTCTGAAACAAGTGCCCAAAAAAGCCAACGGTACTAAGGAAAACCAAACACAAAGTTATCCAGAGTGGTTTGGTGAAGAAGTGTTATCGATTGAAATTCACTTTTCTGTCTGATAGACTTGCTATATTTGAAACGATTAAAACCAGCATCAGGAGATGAGCCAAAAAAATTTTTGCACCCCTTCTAACTGCTTCCTGTGTTCCGATGGCCCTGTATTCACTAGGACTCGGGACAATGCCTTAAGTGCTGCACATGGATGGCAGCTTCTGCTTAGGCAAAGAGAGCTGTGAGAGCCCGCACATGGGCAAAACACTGAGCAGTAAAAATAGGTCCAGACTGCAGTGCTTGGAACAGGTCACTTAAAATAGGCATTTCACATTCTGTGTGAACCTGCCTAGTTAAGTGTAATGAAAAATCAGTGGTCGGTCATTTCAAGACTCCAGTACACATTCCCTTGGCTCTCTCCCGACATCGATGCATCCCTCTCCAGACAACTCTGGAACACACTGCACCAAGGCGAGGAAAGGAGCACTTTTACTGTCCCAAAACCAGCAGCGCTCTCATTGCTGACCCGCTGAGAACACAAACCTCCTATTCCAAAGCGACCCATCTCCAAAACAAGGAAACGCAACCCACCCCACACTACTTGTCCCTGACGTCCGTCCCGAGATCACACCCGACATTCCCATGGAAGTTACTAACAAACGCGGCACAGCTGTACTGCAGTTTCTGCGTGCGGGAGTTTGCTCGGCCAACTGTGCGCGTCTGCCCGCGTTAGCGCTGCGCCGCTCTGCAACACGCACGCACTGCTCCGTGACCCCGTGCGTCCGCCGTGCTGCGGGAAGCCCAGCCGGACCCCGACGTGTGGGACCCGAGCGCCTTAACCCAGCGACAAAACAGAGCCGGGCGCTTCACACCGCAGTCACATCACAGAACCCGAAAGCCTCCTCGGCCCAAAGGTGCCGAGGGGCAAAAAGCGCCGTGCTGACCGCTGCGCCAAGTTCGCTCCCTTCTCCAGCGGGCAGGGACGGGACGAACGGCATGGAAGGGAGGGTGCGGGGGGCGGGCGCTGCCCTCTGCGGGAAGGGAGGGCGCCGGGTGAGAGGGACGTTGGGGTCTGTCTGCGCTGCCCGCGCGGTGCCAAAGGGACACGAAAAGAGGCGAACTAAAAAAAATATATTAAAAAAAAAAAAAAACAACCAGAAAAACAAAGCAAAACAAACAAACAACAACAACAACAAAAAAAAAAACTCGTGAGTAATAAAGAATAAAGCCAAATAAACAGAAGGAGAAAGCCGTGCCGCGCCCGCGGGAGCCCCGAGGAGCGCATCCCCTCTCGGCAGGAAACTTTCTCCCAACTTTGCGCCCCGACCCGAGGCACCGCCGCTGCCGTCCCCGCGTGAAACAGCGCGCCGCACCCCCGGGGCCGGCGGCGGGCGCGGAGGGCAGGGGGGCTCAGCGCCCGCCGGAAAAACAAGCAGACACAGAGAAGGCGACAAAACGCAGCAGAAATAAACCAAACCCGGCAAACAAAGCTAAGCGAAGCAGCGTGACACAGAGGCAAGGCGGCAGCGGGCGGGGCGGCGGGCCGGCTCGTTACCTTGATGCAGCACTGGGCAGCAGGCTCAGACATCTCTCAGGAGGAGGTCCGCGCAGCCCAGCGGGCGGCCGGGAACTTCTGGGGCTCTTCCCACCTCCCGCTCCCCCGCCGGCCCCTCAGGAGGAAGTTGCGGCCGCCACCGCGGCCCGCGGAGCTGCCCGGGATCCCCTCCCCGCCGCCGCGCTCCGGGGGGCGCTCGGAAGCTGCCGCCCCCCGCCGCGCGTGGCCGTGTGCGCGCGTGTGCGGGACCGCGCGTGTGTGAGCGCGCGTGTGCGCGGGGCAGGGGGGAGAGCGCGAGGCGGGGGGAGGGAGGGAAAGGGCGGGCGCTGCCGCCGCGGCCCCCGCTGCCCACCAGTGTTTTCCTTCCTGGAAGAGAAACCGAAAGGCGGCGCGGGCCCGGCCGGCCGCGCCCCGCCCATGAAGCCGGAGTTTCGGGGGCCCGAAAGTGACGTGAGTTCCCGGCAGCCGGCCCCGCCCCTTAAAGGTGCCGCCGCGGCGCGAAACGGCCGTGAACGGCAGCCGCCCGCGTGCGCCCTGGCGCTGAAGGACAGCCGAGAGGAAGGGGCCTGGGCGGGCGCGGCGCGGCTGGGGCCGGCGCGCTGCGTTCTGCGCCGCTCCGCCGGGGGGAGGCGGCGCGGGAGGGCCGTTGAGACGCGCCGGCGTGGGCGGAGAACCCGGCGAACGGGTGGAAGGCGGTGAACGGAGCGGCGACGACAACAATGGCCTTTGTTCCGCACGCGGGGCGGCCCCTTTAAGAGCGCAGACCTGGAAGTGGCACGGGAAGTCCGGGCAGGGCGCAGCGGTGGCTCCGCGCGGTCCTACAGTAGGCGGCGGAGGAAACGAGGAGCCCCGAGTAGGGCTGCGGAAGCTGAAGGGGGTCTCGCCTCCCCGCGCGCACACGCTATGGAGAAGGGAGCGCCGCGCTTCGCAAAGAGCGAGCGTGGCACGACGCCCAAAGGGAAGCACCGCGCCTTCTCCCGGCTGGCGTGCTGGGGACGCGGAGTCTTTCAGCCCGTATGGTGTGGCCGCGGCGTGGAAGCGCCCCGCTCTGTTTTATCGGTCGGGTTCCACGCCCTAGGGTCCGGCTGGGCTTCCCGCAGCACGGCGGACGCACGGGGTCACGGAGCAGTGCGTGCGTGTTGCAGAGC